GACCTTCTGCCATAGCTTCATTTACACAGTTAGAGCCCCAACAGGTGTGAGAGCCATAGTGTCATCGCCTGCTGACCTTCTGCCATAGCTTCATTCACTCAGATAGAGCCGCAAGCCCCAAGCGGACTATGTCGAGGTGGATGTTCTGACTTCCAATGTACGCAGGTTATCTCAAGTCAATTTCTTGACACCTGATCTCTATTGGTCCAAGGTATGCATCCATAACTACTGTGGAAAGCTCCCGTGAAATGGCGGGCAGAGAAGAAGACCCGCATAAGTGAGTGAGTGAGTGAGTGAGTGAGCGATTACCGGTGGGGGTCACGTGCTACTTGGAGCGAAGTGTGTGTGAGAATTGCCAGCGTCCGTGTGGTATTGTGTGCGGTGTGTGCTGAGTTTGGACACTACAGCCTTGCAGGGGTGGGGTGGATATCACGACCAGAATGGCTCCAGTTTTAAAGCACCGTGTCCTGGCTTGCGGCAGTTAAGATCCTTGGCTCTTCAGCCCGAAGTCGCCGGCCGGCTTAAATCTGTGCTTGCACGGAGGAGGGCTTTAGGCCCAGATGTGCGGATCCATAACTACTACTACTACTACCACCACCACTACTACTACTACTACTACTACTACTACTACTACTACTACTACTGAATGGTACACACATGTAACTGTAGAGAGACAGATTATGCTTTCTTAGTTTGTTTTGAGCCATTGTGGCTAATGGTCCTAAAACCATGGAAGGCATTGGAAGCAAATACTGCAAAAAAAAGAATGTTTGCCATGCTGGATCATAAAAAGCTGAAAAGAAACAGACATAACCATATTTGCAGGAGCAGCAGCCCTGAGTTTAAATCGTGGTGGAATACAATAACGTTAGGGGGGTTACCCTTTCCCTTTCGTCAGGGTTTGTTCTCTCGTAGCCTGGCTATTAGTTTTGCAGACGCCAGGTCATTATGTGGTATGGGGCCTTGCAGAGACTCTGGAATGGCTGTGTTATTTGGGGTTCACCTGGTTCTGGGGAATGCATGAATGGCATCATTTTTAGCAACAGTGATTGCACGTGACATCACAGCCTGGGTGGTTGCCTCTTGTGGGATTTCAATCCTCTTGGATTCTTCCTCTTCTTCGTTTTTTGCCTCTTCATCTTTCTGGTCTGATTCTTTTTTTTTTTTTTTGTTATTGAGATGCAACCTGAAATGCAACCATGGCACTCTCAATGATAATGCTGGCCGAGAACAATGACACACACAGCAGATTAACAGAGGCACGAGGGGGGAGAGAGAGAGAGAGAGAGAGAGAGAGAGAGAGAGAGAGAGAGAGAGAGAGAGAGAGAGAGAGAGAGAGAGAGAGAGAGAGAGAGAG